CGATTTGAATGGATCAATTCGGAGCTAAAACGACAATTTTATAATTAAAGCAGTTCAAATGGCATTTCAGAAAATCTTGAAAACGTATTTTTGACTTAAGCCGTGGAGTTTACGTTTTCCAAGCGAGATTGCGATTCGGGAAACTACGCCTTGGACTCATGGGTTCAAATAGGTGAATCCAGGAGGGCTCTTTAGCAAATCTACCCGTGAAGGGGTATCGGCCATCGAGAGCCGTTAGATCAAGATCGGCGGCACGGATTAGATCTGGGGAGGGACTGGCGGAATAACAGTGTCACCGTGCCGAGCGCCATTGCCTTGGCGAGGTGGAGGTCACTGATGCGTGAAGTTAGGGTCTAGGGTTCACCAAAAGGACCACCAAGGGCACCGTGTGAGCTGGGGAAGAAGGGGTCGTGACCATGCCATTTCGGTGGTCGGGAAGCGGCTGGCTAAGTGGTGGCCGCCATGGCCGGCGACCATGGCTCGCGGAGCTCGAGGCCAAGGCTCGAGAAGCCACAAAAACGAGAAATAAACTGCTCGGGGAGATAGAGGGGAGAACGGCGAGTCTCACTGCGGTGAAAACCGGAGCGGAGGCGGCTCGGTGATGGAGGTTCGCTGGGGTCCCGAGCTCGACGATGGCGGATTTCCGGCGACCTTCGGGGCGGCGGTTGTAGCTTCCTCGCGCGTGGGTGAATGAAAAAATGGGGCGTGGAGGCAGCAGGGAGGGCGGAGATGGGCTCGGTGCCGATTTAAAGTGGCCGGGCGCGAGGGGTGGCGCGCTCCCACGATGCCGTTCGTGGGCGGCGGTTGCGGCCAGGCCGGGCGGTTCCGAGGCGCACGGGGTGAAGACGGCGCCGACAAGCGGGCCCGGCGGCGGTCGGCCGGGTGCGGGGCGGGCTGGCGGTTACTGGCCTTGCTTTCTTTGGGCCGCCTTGGAAAGGGAGAGAGGGAGTGGGCAGTGGTTGCTGTGGAATAGCTCATGGGCGAAAACAAGGATGGGGAGGAGATGTTCATTTTTCCTTTTATTTTCCAAACAAATTTTCCCAAAGGCATTTTCAAATAATTTTTGAATTCATTTGAACTCTAATTCAAGAACAATCATCACATGAATAAATTTTGCAGCAGCATGTATGCATCAAAAGTTTCAAATCTTATAATTGATTTTAATTCCCCAAAAATTATTTGTTTCCTATAATTGAATGCACATTTAATAACATAATTAAATCAAATTTACTTATTTTAAAAGAATGAAAAATTTTGGGTGTTACACACCGTCGAAGGCCCAGACAAGGCGAGGTGGCCTGATTTCGCCGGTTCCGAGGCCACCGTCGAAGGTCCGGACGGGGCAGGGCGGTTTGATTCCGTCGGCTCCGGGCGTCTCCTCCCCCTCCTGCACCATGGCATGCCATAGGAAGGGCCCCGCCTACGGCGAAGGCGGGTCCTCAAATCCCCGGTGGCTAGATCATCCCACGAGATGGGTGACCTGGAGCCATCATCCTCTTCTTCTTCCTCCTCTCCCGACGAACCTTGACGTTGCTTCCCTCGCTGCTTCGACCGCCTTGTCTTCTCATCGTCCTTCTCCTTCTTCCTTTGTTCATCCGTGGCACGGTTCGCCGTCCCTCACGGCCACATGCTCTGGCAGTGGCACGATAGAGTCCTAGGAGACTAACCCCACCGCCAGCTCAGTGAAGCCCGCATTGATCGCATCACAGGATGCCCGGGATCAGGAACACGACGTCAGCCTCCCCCGTGGCCTCCTTGATGCGCTGCGCAAACTCACTATCGAGAAGCAACCCCTGAGCGAGCGTTGTCCCGACGAGGTGTGCGTCGAGCGTCATCCCATACAGTGGGAGGACGCGCGCCATTAGCAGCGCCACCCTCCTCACGTGATACCCCTCGATGACGCCGCCCCATGAAGGCCATGGGTCTTCAGGAACGCAATGGCCTTGAGGAGGTCGCGCATCCTCTTCTTCTCCTTGATGGGTGGCCCCCACGACCATGACGGCGGTACCTCTTCGACCAGGTGTACAGAGAAGACCGGCAAGGGAGCGACATGGTCATTCTTTAGGTAGAACCAATGTGAGTGCCACTCCTTGTTGGATCTAGAGAGCTGGCAGGGCATGTACTCGGCCGCCCGCTGCCCCCAGAGGTGGATGCTCACGCATCCCATCGGCACCAGGGTCTCTCGGCCTCTCTCCTTCTTCTTAATCAAGGAGACAGAGAAGAAATATCTCCACAGCTCAAAGTGGGGCTCGATCCCCAGGTACCCCTCGCACATCGCGGTGAAGGCCATGATGTACTAGATCCCATTGGGGTTCAAATGCTATAGCTCGATTTGATAGTGGTGCAGCAGATCCTCACGGCCGAGCACAAGCCACTCCGCTGCATCGGTCCTCCCGCAAAGAAGACCACGCTTGACGAAGCCCTCCATACGCGCACGGGTAACATCGGAGCAGTACCACAAATCCATGGAGGATGGAGGTAGCTGTGGAGAAGCAAAGGTGGCGGTGGAGAAGTGGAAGCTACAGATCTAGAGCTCCGGCGGTGGATTAGCAGGCACGGTAGATTCGAATGGCGGCGGCGGAGAAACGGAGAAGGTAAGGCTGTGGTTTTGGTGTGTAGAAATGTGAAGGGGGTGGCCACTATTTATAGGATAGAGCGGGGCGAGAACGTGAACCGTCCGCCTAGGTTCATGCGCTCGCTGCGTCGTGTCACGTCACCTCGCTCTGAAGATCATGCGCACACTATCTCTGGCCGCGCCCTTGATGGACACGCTGGATAATGGTTCGCCCGGTCAATGGGTCATGAACCGTCACAGTTAAGGAGGGATACAGAGCTAAAAATGCTCCTACGGCCCATTTAGGACTAGGAGTTCGAAGGCTGGCCCGCCGATAGGTTCACAGCCGCTCTGGGGCACCCTTAGAGCAAGGGGTGGAAAGGAATGGGCCCACTAGCAGCCAGTAGGCGCATGAGCGCCACGGGCATCCTAGCCCATGTTCAAGTCTTGGTCATTTCCTAGTCCATGTTTTTTCCTCAAAGAAAGGCAATGAGCCCTTGGGACTAGCCGAACGGACCCAAGAACTATATGGATTGGTCGCCAAGAGTCTGGAGTCGGTCACCAGGAGACCTATGCTGGACCCCTACGAATGGAAAGTCGGGGCCCCACTCGGACTAGCCCATTAACAGCTCACCGAGCACCATGTTTCGTCCATCGAGGAAAAACGTGGCACGGCTCAGCCCTTCCGTTTTATAAAAAACGCTTGAGGGATGACGATCACAAAGACGAGCTAACCCTTGACCGGACCCCTGCTACGCGTGGGGGCTCGAGGGAAGTTGGACTCGCAAGGAGACCGAACGCGCGGTCGCAGTATGACGGTGGACCGATAGGATCCTAGGGACCGGAATCAAGAAAAATCTTTCCGACCTCCCGAATCCTATGGTTACATACCCCCAAAAAGACCGATCATGACAAAAGGAATCGCCGTCCTACCAAGACATGCCACGGGCTACAAAAAGAAGGCCAAGGCCCTCAGAGTCCCCCCGTCTGGAAAAGCTTCCAAAGGAGTATTCTACTTCTCCATAGGCTCGGGGGCTACTGTCGGGTATCAATATTAGGGATATCCAAAGTAAGGAAGTTAGCGCCCATGCTGACTACCCCGGATGGCTTGAGACATATTAAAAAGGTCTCGCCAGACACCAAGGCCACGGGCTCCATCTCACCCGACCCCTTAGGTGAGGGCTCTGCCTCGTCCAACCCCAAGGACGCGGGTTCTGTCTCGCCCAAGGCCGCGGACTCCTTCTCGCCTGACCTCGAGGCCACAGGCTCCATCTCGCCCGACCCCAAGGACGCGGTTTCTGTCTCGCCCAAGGTCATGGGCCCTGTCTCACCCAACCTCGAGGACGCGAGTTTCGTCTCGTCCGACGGGGACCCATACCGCCGCTAACCACTCCAGGTCCAAGCGTATGGGCCTGTGTCAAAACTCCGACGCCAGGGAAGAGGCTGGCACACCTCGATGTAATCGGTGGCATGACGGGCCATACCTGGGGATTGACATCAAGAATAGTGTCGAGCGTGCCGATGCTGTTTGGCCTAATCCTCGTACGGACGCTGACAGGCGTGTCAGTTCACCACGACGTCCGTCGGGACGGAGTGGAATGCCATGGCCAGCAGATGACGCTTGAGCATGGCGCCAGTGACGAACAGGGTCACAACATGGAGCCATCCCTATTGACATCTACAAGATTGGCGGGACCCGCATGAAGGAGAAGGACCCGGCTACCCTGGAAGCCTTCTCTCTCTCTCGTTCTTCTTCTTTTCCTCCTCTGTAACCCGCGATTTCCCTTCGCCTATAAAAGGGGAAGCAGGGCGTCCCATGAAAAGGGGGATCAGGAACACAAGAGCATGACACGAGCACACGGCTGAACGGCAAGCGAGCGCTTTCAGCATCCTTTCACTCCTTCCACCAGAGACTTATGATCCTCTCCCTCTCTCGCCTTTTTGTAACCCTACTGCAAACCAAGTGCCGGTAACACGAGCAGCAGCGAACTGGACTTAGGGACGTTCCACCCGAACCAGTATAAACCCTTGTGTCCTCCGAGCACACCATCCGAACCAGACATGCAAATATAAATTTACTCATCGACGGTCCGAAAACACCGACACTAATATAAGCTTGTTTTTATTCATTATTTTTAGAGTCCATTGAGCAGTTTATAACTGCATTAGATTCATGGTTCTTGTAAGTCCTAGAGTGGAAGGAGGATGTAGTCCTTAGCAATCCAACTATTAATTCTATCATGTTATCACTTTTCACTTTGAAATGTTCAGAGGCATATTGCAACCATTAAACAAACCATTTGTATAGCACAAACAAAGGCTTGGAATGCAAGCAGACACTAAAACGATTCATCAACAGTCAGACTGGCAGCAGCAACCAATGACATAAAACAAACAGGTGGTGGGCATGTAACCAGAGGCTTACCTGCCTGGGCGTCAAGCCTCGATGAAGCGACGTCCTTCCGCATGGACGCAACATGATCAGGCTGTCTCTGTTCACCTTCGCGTCGTGCCGTCCTCTGATCAGGCGAGATTAGGAACGACTTCCTTCATCATTGGCTGGAACGATGAGGAAACACATACGATGGAGATCCAGAAGAATACTCACCGAACAGCATCTATAGCAGCCGCTACGGCCTACGGTGACGCCTCGCGCTCCTGCGGATGCGGATTAGAGTGCGCGACGCCGATGCTGACCAGAAGACGCGACCACAACGTGGATCGGCCTGATGGACATGAATACCTAATGATCTACGTGGGGCGGGGCAAGGACAACAGAGCTCCGTCATCGGGCCTTCTCCTTCTCGGCACGGCGTTGCGGCGGCGGCGCGGGCGAGGGCGGACGCGGTGCGCGATGACGGCGAGGGCGGAGAACGGCAGCGCGTCGCGTTTCAGGTTTGCCTTCTGCCGATGGCGTCGCGATGGGAAATGATGCCGCGGATCTTTGTACGTGATTGGAGGCTGCTTCCTTATGTGATTGGATTGGAAGAGAGATCGCGTGATTGGAAGAGGAGATAGCGCACGCCGGGGGAAGCGAGTGGGGAGGAAATCATGCGTGCGCCGGGAAAGCGAGCGGGCTACTGAGCATCGCACGTGGCCGGGAAAAATCATGAGACCCGGGTTTTCACACGCCGGGTGATCTGGGCACGAGCGGCGTTTTTTCGCAAACCGGGCGACGATTCCCTAACTATTCTTTTTAGTCGTAGAGATAGAGATAGAGATAGAGATTGAGATTTTATTTTATTTTATTTTATTATCAATTGCATGAATCTCGGAGTACCCTGCTCTCTCTTGCTGCCTTAATTAAGTGCTAATAGGTAGAGGCAATGCCTCGTTGACTTGGTATACACAATTTTTTTTCTGCCATTCTCTAGCTCCCTTAATTAATTAAGTGCTAATTAGTAATTTGGATATTCACGTTGATTAGGCTACTTCATCCTACTACTTGTTCTATATATGATGTTTAATGTTAGCACTTAGGGTTTTTTTCCGCCGTCGCCGTCTTCGTCGCCCTCGCTCAGATCGGGCGGAGATATTTAATTCCCTGCCCCTCCAGTTTGCACTGAAGACGTACGATCGCTATCCCCACCAATCCGTCAACCATGAGCCGATCCTTAGTCCTTGCCCGTCCGCTGCCAATGCACCCCGACGATCTGGCAGATCCGCCTCCGGCTTCCATCCTCCTCGACCCGCGCGGCTACATCGACGACCGCACCACCGCCACCACCGCCGAGGGCGTCACAAGCGGCGGCAAGCGCTTCAGGTGACCTTCTGGACGGCCCACCCGCCGCGCTGTTCCTGCTTCACGGTCCACAGCCCTGATCTAGAGCGCTCCGCGTTCGGCGGCATCCCCATGCTCCTCAACACGGAGGACGACCTTGCCTTGCTTCGCGTCCCGATCTGCCCTCTGGGCGACGACGGTGTCGCGGGGAACAACGATCACTTCGTCTACCACGCCGGCGACAGCAACGAGAACAAGCGGCCTCCGTCGCTGGATTTGATCCCCAGGGCTCCCGGCCGAGTCTTCCTCGACGAGGACGCTGGCCTCCTGCGCTGCCGCCGTGATCGCGACATGTATTTCGTTGCTGTGCTCTGCTGGGCATACCGCGTGGGACAGTACAAACTCCACCTCTACAGCTCCAAGACGGAGACATGGAGCACCAGGTTGATGTACCTTGCTTCAGCAGAAGGGAAATTGCTCTACACCAACTCCAGCAAGGAGATCATCATTGGAGGGGAGCTTGGGTCCAAGGGCTGGGTTGACCTGTGGCGAGGCATCCTCATATGCGACCTCCTCAAGGAGGACAGCACCGAGCTTCGCTACATCCCACTGCCGACTCCATTGGTGCCCAGGACACTCAAGGGTCCTCCATTGTATGTTCGGGACATCGTTGTTGTTGAAGGCTACATCAAGTACTTCGAGATGTGTCGTTTACATGGCGGACCTGATGAAGGATGCTGGAAGGCAGTCACATGGGAAAGGAAGGATTCTTGGAATGACTGGAAGAAGGACTGTGTGATCGAAGTTTCCAAGGACTACCCAGCAGCACATATTACCAACCCAGATGATCAGCAGCAGGAGGAGGCTGCAGAAACCAAAGAGCAGCTGCCAACCTTGAAGGGATTCTACTCAGGTTATCCAGCCCTGAGCTTGCACGATGGTGGTGGTGTTTATATCATGGACAGACACAACCTCGATGACACAAAGGTAATGGTTGCTGTTGATAGGAGGAAACAGACTCTGAAGGGTGTGGCTGATTGTTACTCTCCGAGGCCGCTGGGTTACAGTTCCGTCTACTTTGGAAGTGGGATCTCCAAAGTTCTTCGCAGCAGGAGCAGGACGTCCACCAGAGGGAATGCTGCGTGCTACTGAAACAAGTAATAAGCATGAAGAAACTCTGCAATTTGGCAATCCAAGGAACGAAGACGTGGCAGCAGGCTAACACTGCTTCCTTGATGTAAAGACAACAGCAAGCGTGACCTTTGTGCGCTACAGCTGCTGTCGAACCTTCAAATAAATTAAACTGATGATTCATGAACCAAAGCCGCCGGGAGGGTGTTTGATTTGAGTTAGCTATAAGCTCTGAGTTATGCATGATTCATCATCGCAGGTTCTCGTAGGCTCTAAGTAAGTTATGCACGATTTTTTTTAACGAGTATATGGTAATGGCCATCTATAAGACTTTGAGGAGCTAGGACTACTGGTGTTTTCTACTACAGTTGTGGTAAATGCAAGCCAAATTTTTTTGCTTTCTTTCTGGAGTTTTCAACACTGAAGCTAATAGTAGGATAGTGCTCCATCCGCTTCAAAATATGGGCCATTTTAGTTTTATCTAAGTCAAACACCTTTAACTTTGACCAAATTTGTATGAAAATGAACTAACATTTAGAACATCATTCTGTTTATTTAGATTTGCTATGAAATATATCTTGGTAGTGCATTCATTTTGACATTATAGATGTCATTATATTTTTATATAAGATAGAAAAAAAACTGAAACAACTCAATAGTCGATCGACCGTATATCGTATTATTTATCTTCAACTTTATTTTTCATTTTTCTAAAATTATCTATTGCTATATTACATATATGGGCTTTATTCATATATTTGTACTGTGATGGAACTTTGGAAAAGGACTATAATTTGCTTTGTGTACAATTTTTTTTTCCTCTACAATATTCAGAGAGACTATGGATTATTGCTCTGTTGTTGTCCCCTTTTCGTTCTTGCACTTGTTTCTAGCCTGCTTTGTTCTTGCACTTGGGTTGCACCAGCAGAGGCTGGAGGTAGGGACGGTGGTGTGCGCGATTGGCAGTGGCCCATGCTCGCCACCGATGTATAGGCAACCTTGGCAAGTGGGTTATTTGAGGTCAGGAGAAAGATTTGGACGACAACGTTTGTCGATGCTGCTTACTCCTTGGAGGCGTCCTCTCTATACCTCTTCCCGATTCACCCCACCCGGTTGTTGATTGCAGGTGAAAGCCTTTCCCATAGTGGACTAGCAGCGTTTAAGCCTTGGGCATTATTAATTACCATCAAGAAGGCGCTGTAAGCAATTGTAGTTCTGTTGATTGATGCTTGTCGTTTGGTTTTGTCACTGCTCTTGCTTTGTATGTATATGTACACAGAGTAGCTCTCAGCATCGTGTCTTCTCTCATCTCCTGACTCGCTATACAGTGTTAGAAGGTCCAAGTAAGGTTAGTGGTTTTGGCTGAAGAGAGGACTCTTTCGATGAGAAAGATGAAGTACTTGTTGAAGATCCTCCCTATTGAACATCGATGTGATGCACATCGAGTGCTACTGTCTTCACTAGAGGAATATATGCTTGATGGAGACAAAAAAGAATTTAAATTTGTTTAGCAAGTTGTGTAATGAGTCAGGAATAGGACTGGAATTTAAATTTGTTTAGCAAGTTGTTTAGCAAGTTGTGTAATGAGTCAGGAATTTGTTTAGCAACATGTGGTGGTTTGTAGTCTAAGCACTATGGGTGCGTTGTAATTGGCTATACCTATTCACTTGTGAATGATGAAGGCGGAAATGTTATATTCTTTAATCTAAAAATGATTCTGTTGATGGCATTTGCTGGTAAATTCATTACTTTGATCGTTCTGGTGTGATAAGTGATGAAGTATAATAGTTGCTAGTTATCAACCTTAGACATGAAGCAAGGCATTTCAGCTCTATGCCTATTCTCCATGTAGATTTGTGAGGCATTCGAGAATCAAAGGCAAGATTATTAGGGTTATAAAGTCTAGCTTAGGTCAACATTTTTCTACGATGCCATATGACTTGCAGAGTGTAGTTCCACATCTGCATGTGCACCGTGGTATTATATTAATTCTGAACTATGCAGCCTCTCAACACTCTATGTCAATCATTACATGATATCATACATACACAACATGATTTCCTACGTATGCCACATGGCTCTTGGTCTCTCTTTTCTAGCGTAATTGAAAAGAAAGTATTTTATTTGAAACTACAGTCGAGTATAGTTCATTGATTTTGGTAATGTGTTTGTAATGTTTCCTTAGCTTTTGTAGAGGAATTGGTTATGGTAAAAAACATAGATATCATGTTCTTAGCTTGCCATTTGCATGTTCAGTAATTATTTTTCAGTTTCTTTATTTAAAGTTTTGAATATCTTTGAAGGATGAATGGAAACTTGGAATCTTGGATAGTTGGAGTAATAATTATCGACTTTTATGAACCACTTGTATCTTCTTCAATCTTGTAGTTGTACCTGAAACTCTGTATTCTCGTTTCTTTTGTATCAACATCATATATATTCTTCTATACGGTGATCTATGACACGAACCAGTGTATGGATGTCTCATCATGTAGATCCGATGTATAAGCTTATTGATACTGTATTGCATAATCTAGGGTTAAAACAAATTGAATTTTATGTGATATAGGATCTAGTTGTCAAAAGTTTCCTCATTATTTCCTCCATTGCATGGGAACTTTTTAAGCACATGTGTTCCTTATTATATCATTTGTATATATCAATTATATTTTGTATATGATATAAATGATGACTGACTTACAAAAATCTCATTAATATTCCCCCATTGCATATGGAATGCCTTAGAAAACACGTGTATAGTACCATTTTCTACTAGTCTTGGTCTTTCATCTTCAATTTTGACCAAGTTTATATAGAAATGCCCCAACATTTATAACACCAAGTTTACTTATTCACATTTACTATAGAACTAGAAGATACTCCGCGCGTTACTGCAGAGATTGCAAAAAAAATTAAAAATAAAATTAAGTAAAGATGACGTGGATAGCTTGTATTAAGAGGTTAAAAGTTAGTGGTATGACATGTCTATTAGTGAAAGATGATGTGGATAGTTAGTGGAACATGATGTGGATGTCTTCATGTTGAGATGGAACTTGAGATGATATGGATATCTTGCATTAAGAGGTTGAAAGTTAGTGGTTTGACATGACTATTAGTACGTAGAAGATGATGTTAATGTCTTGCATGTGGAGAGAGAGAGAGCTTGAGATGATGTGGATGGCTTGCATTAAGAGGTTGAAAGTTAGTGGCATAACATGGCTATTAGTGGAAGATTGTGTAGATGTCTTGCATGTTGAGATAGAACTTGAGATGACATGGATAGCTTGCATTAAGAGGGTGGAAGTTAGTGGCATGACATGGTTATTAGTGAAAGATGATGTGCGGATATCTTGCATGTTGAAATAGAACTTGAGATAACGTGGATAGCTTGCATTAAGAGGTTGGAAGTTAGTGTCATGATATGGCTATTAGTGGAAGATGATGATGTGGATGTATTGCATGTTGAGATAAAACATGTAGTAGGGATTAACTTTATAAAAGAGAGATATATAGATATAGATATGTCTGACAGTGCATTGGTATTCTAGATGTTAATATATACTCCTTTCGATCCAAATCGTAGGTCGTTGTTGATTTCCTAGTTACATAACTAATATGCATCGGTACATAACATCTATTTAGGTGCGCAGCAAATAAAAGCAATGGATCTAGAAATTAAAAATCATAACAATTTATAATTTGAAACCGATGGAGTATATTTTTCTATAAAGTTGTTAGAAAAGTTTTGGCTTAGAAAAAACACTAAAGCAACAAATATATATATTCTGAAGAAATATCCTATCCGCCGTCGATATTTCTCTAAGAAATCGGAACCTTCTCGTGACATGACAGATGCATAATAGTATGTTTTGGTTTGAGAAAGAGCACAGTTTAGACTGAGAACGACTCACCGGCTTATCATTTCCTTTCATTTACACATGCATCGGTAAGTGAACACACGAGAAAAAAAAAACAGTGCATTCCGCACTATTGGTCATGACTGGCGACGCGAGACTGCGAGAGCCAAGAACGTCGTCATTTTTTGGCAAAGCATGCGTTGTAATTTGGCAAAGATGAGTTTACTTCTCCCAGGTGGTCAAATGTAAATTTTTTTAAAAAAATAGCTAAATAGTAAAAAAATAGGGTGTATGGGCATATATAGCGCTAGGATCGTCCCTGTCCCTTTGTCTCACTAGCAATCACGTTGGACAATGCAGACCTTGTTGCGCATGTGCTGGAGATGGAGGTGTGAAATGACGCTTTACGGCACTTTCTTACAGGGACGCCGGCCGGCCTCAGCTGTTATATGGCTTAAGAATTTTTTTTGGAACGCAGGATTATCATAAAAACATGTAGGAATATAATTTAAACAGATCAATTTAATTTAGGACATCTGATTTGAAAAAAAACATCTGATTTGAAGGAAAAAAAAATCCCCGTTCCAAAGGCGGGTCCCCCAAATGGGGGTACGGTTTTATTGGTTCCAAGAAATCTAACCAACAACTATGTAACTGTAGGTAGGACATACTCCGTATGACATTGTACGTATCTTTTGCACATATTGTTAGGTGCAAATTAGAAATGTTAGGGCGTTGATGAAACTATAGATCGACGTAGTAAAATGCAGCAGCAAGCTAGATCGTTGTCAGGTTTGGCAACAGCAATGCTTCCATTCCATGCGTGTCAGCGTGTGATTGAGCAAAAGTTCTTGTAGTCTTCTTCAACAACGACATGCAGACCTCCTGCATCACATGTTTTCCATGCATGGCACAGCGCTGGTCCTGCCTACCACCAGGTTCCACGATGTGTGTCTCTGATAGTAGTCTGATATGACGCGGCCAGCCCGGCGCCACACAATGTACGGATTGAAACTGAATGCTTGCTTGCTTGCATGCATATCATACTTCCGGTGCTGCGTGCGTGGATCGCGACGACACAATGCATCTCCATCAGATGTGATGAGTAGTAACTCTCGTGCGTATGCACTGACGCGCGCGGAACTTGTGAAACCAGAACTCGTT